GCTCTTAAAAAGGCAAAGGACAGAAGGCCTGCTGGGTGCCAATATGCAGAAACAAACACCTTCCTCAGCTCAGGGCTCAAAATACACCCCAGCTGAGACATTTCTGCTCTTGCTGCCAGTGTGCAGAGTAAGGCCATAGAAGGGCCAAGTTTACGAAGCCAAGGGAACATCTTCACATCATATGATTCTTGGCCCTCATGGACGTGTGGGTATTTTTGAAACAGCTTAACAACAGATTTCGGCTGGATTCACTCTAGCAGAATGGGATTAATATGTAAGAAAATGATGTTTTGGCCATCTGCAAAGGAAGGTCATTTCCCACCAATCAGAGCAGGCCTCATAATCCCAAGGCAGCAAAAACTCTGATGCTGGGAAGAAAAAAGAAAGCTGATCTGGCATGATAAATTGGGCTGCCTTGTCCTGGCTGCCAAGCATCCCTCATATTTCTCTTGAATGCCACTCTATAATCAGACCATGGTGGACTGGATCCATTCCCCCACAGTTCCCTGGCCCTGACATCTAAGCGAGGCCATTCCCTTCATGGGGAATGCTGGCAAATCCTGACATTCTCGTCCGTCTTAAAACTGGAGACTTTTCTTGAAAACAACAGTCTCCCCACCTTCATTATCTTGGGCAGGTGAGCAGGGAGGAATGACTGCTGTTTGCACGGAGCAGCAGTGCATTAGCTACTTTCAAAACATCTGACTGATCCCAGATTACACCAGACAAAGGCCTGGATTCTTTGCCTTTAGACAGGTGCAAAATAGTGTGAATTTTCTGAAAATACAGCTTTGGGAAGAAACTAAAACTGCATGTGAACTTCAGTGCCACAACAGTATACTCAGCACAGACCAATCCTTACAGAATAAAAGCATTTTGTAAATCCAGTTAAACAGGAAAGAAGAAAAACTGTCATTCCCAGAGAACACTGGCAGTAATGAAAATAAGACATTCAAAGAAGAAACTTCCAGGATCAGTCACAGGATCCAGTACAAAGCCAGTGCACTGCCCCTTATATGAGCATCATATGTAGCAAGGAGCTCAAAGCCAGGCCATCAATCCGAAAATGGCTTTTGAAGCATGTCAATATAGTTTTTTGTCAGTAGTGATGGGGTTTCACCGTGTTGGCCAAGCTGGTCTCGAACTCCTGGTCTCAAGTTATCTACCTGCCTTGGCCTCCCAAAGTGCTGGGATTACAGGCATGAGCTGCCGCGCCTGGCCAATGCATGTCAATATAGTTTTAATGAGGCATGCATTACCAGATCCTAATTTGTTGAAAAGTCATGCTCCATTTCCATTTTGACATTCCTCATACTTCAATTAAAAAATTAACGAGAACACCATTTCCCCAACCCACTCTGGATGATGGAATCCACTCTGGCCTCTTGTTCAGCCTCTGAGGTAGACAGGGCCACCAGGCAGCCTCCACACAGCCAGAGAGGGGAGCTGGCGCCTCTCAGGCCGCCCCCTGAGGCAGTGGAGGAAAGAGAACCACTAATCATAAATGATCTGGCTCTGAGAAGGGATTTTTTGCCCCATGATTAGTTCTTGCTTTTAAATTATATGAAGTTAACATTATTCTCCATAATATACCTATGTGTTAACATTTTAGATTACTAATGAATTTAATTAACAGTTTCTCTCCCAACAGGCAAAACTGACACACCACATAGACATGCCACATTTAATCTGTTGCTTTCAGTGTGACTAACCCAAAGGAACCTGGCAAGCAGGAGAAACCAGACCTCCCGGCGCTCCCAAGCCACATCCCTATCCTGGCTTCTTCCCTACAGAGTCTAAATCATCTAAAGGAGGTGAAGTGGCCATATGTACCTCACAGGGGTGTTGTATGACTTTGAAGAAATAATAAACAACACAAACAGAAGTCCCCAGCTTAGTCCTGGGAACCCAGCAGGTATTCAACACATGTCAGCTGTCCACCTCAACCTCAGCCCACCTCCACCAGCTCTAGCATACATTCTACAGAAGACGAAGTTAAAAACAGAAAAGCAGGATTGCCTGAGGTCAGCAGTTCAAGACCAGCCTAGGGAACACAGGGAGAGAACCAGTCTTTATGCAAAATAAAACATTTTTAAAAATTGGCCAGATATGGTGGTGGGTGCCTGCAGTCCTAGCTGCTCGCGAGGCTGAGGCAGGAAGATCATTTGAGCCCAGGAGTTTGAGGCTGCATTGAGCTTTGATTGCACCACTACATTCTAGCCTGGGCAACAGAGCAAGACCCTGTCCCTCCAAAAAAAAAAAAAAAAAAGAAAAATAGTATGCTCTGACAGTAATCTATAGAATGTCACACACTACATCATAGATCAGTGGTAGATATGGTCTGGCACTTCAACCATGTCCAAGCACCATCCTGCAACTAAGCCTCAGAGGTGATCTCTCTCATTATCTGGCTATGGCGAAAGACAGCTCTTGATACTCTTCTTCATTCGCCATCAATGCTGCAATTTCCCTGTCGAGCCTAGGGAAAACCAGCACAGGCAGCAAGGGAACCAGTTGACCAGGTTTTCATAAAAGCAGCTACACGCATATCCCTGAAAGAGAGAGTGATGAGGGAATCCCGGAGAAAAGACACAGCTGTAGTGAAACACTTCAGTTGCCATAAGAACAAAATAGCCTATTAAACACCAGGAAGGGTCTACTGAGAAAAATTTGTTCATCATTTCCTACTTCTATGTTTGGCTTATTTCTAAAATACAGTAATAACTAAATTGGCAAACTAAATTTAAACTCAGCCAAGCATGCTTTCATGCTGAGTTTAGAGGAAAAACAAGCCCCTGCAGCTGACCAAATTAAAGGCGGATCACACCTTCAACTTTTGCCCCCCTCTTCCACATAGGATCAATCATAGATTTCTGACCAAGAAAAATGCAAAGCCATTAAAGCACTTCCCAGACCGCACTCTGTAGTCCTACCTCACAGGACTGTTGAGAGTTTAAATATGGCTGCGCATGAGGCGCTACATACAAGCTCAGCAGTCAGTGGGCTGATGGTGACCATTCTCACCACATCAAGTCCAAGGTCTCCTCACTTTCAAGGATACCTCCTACCTATCCAACTTCATACTTCAGTATTTCTCAACAAAGGACATCTCCTCTAACCCCTCCAGGCCACACCGCCCACCCGCCCCCAGCTCACATTTCACACGCTCAGGTCCAGGTTCTACACAAAACTGGACCCAGCCAATCTAATGGGCAGGCCAATGTTTAAAAATCAGGATATTCTGTCGTGCGCAGTAGCTCACGCCTGTAATCCCAGCACTTTGGGAGGCCGAGACAGGCAGATCACTTGAGGTCAAGAGTTTGAGACAAGCCTGACCATAATGGTGAAATCACGTCTCTAATAAAAATACAAAATCAGCTGGGCACGGTGGTGGGCGCCTGTAATCCCAGCTACTGGGGAGGCTGAGGCAGGAGATTGCAGTGAACCAAGATCGCCCCACTGCACTACAGCCCAGGTGAGAGAATGAGACTCTGTCTCAAAGCAAACAAACAAAAAAACCAGGGAATTTTACATAAAAACCCAAATAAACGGCTCCTCTAGAAAAATGTGAAAATGAGCAACAGAGGCTCTATTTCCAACAGGGCAACAAGCACTGGGAGTAACGCAGGCAGCTACCCTTTCCACAGGGTCCTGTGCCTCCAGATCCCGCCAAGCCCACTTCAATGATTTTCCTCACTTGCTGGTTCCTGGCCGGGACCCCTTATCCTGAGCACACAGCAGGTTCATTTGCATCACAACTATGTTACTACCCATCTGAAATATCGACTGTCTGGCGGGGCCCTCTCTTTTTGATACCTGCCTTCTCTCCACTTACATCAGAAGCACATGCAGTTGTCTCTCTGAGCAGCCAGTGACCTCAAGAAACCTCTTTCTTCCCATTTCCTGAATTACTATGAATGAGATACAACAGATTCCCAACTCCTTCCACAGGCTCCGCTCTGTGTCACACACTTGCCTCTCAGCTGGGAGTTTGCATCCCTATAAATATACAAATAGTGGCACTGCAGACCTTTCGGGCTGCTGTACAAAGTTTTCTCTGTGAATGACATGCGTGCCTCTCCTAGCAGTCATATATTTTTCCTAGTAAAACTGTTCTGAATGCATACAATGGAATTAAATAAATCACTACAGCATAGGAACAAGTTCCCAACCCACTCTAAAAAGATACCTCACTAATGAGCCATGCTTGGCAATGGATAATCACATCCAAGACCACATGGGACACAACAGAAAAAACAGAGGACCAGACTCAGGGACTCGCGTTCCAAACCCAGCACCGGAACTCACTGCCAAGTGATCAGGATGATTAGGTTGGCCTCTTAAGACCTGATTTTATTCCTTTCCAATACTTCCTGTGGCTTTATAGATGTTTTTGAATATTTTGGGCACTCTCCAATAATATGGTGCTAGTGAATTTGAGGCAACATCTTGAGATCAATCATTCTGAGCATAAAAATCTATGAAAATGAATAGAATATTTAAAAACTAGATGTGACAGGCCCTTTAACAAGCCAACTTTTGTTTGTTATACCTTTTCAAACTAGAAATGAAGCCACGGAAGCATCTTACAGGTAGACGCTTGTACTGTGTTGGCTGGAGAAACTCATACAATAGCAGAGACTGATAGTGTCTGGCCTGCGTGCACTGCCAAATGCCTGCGGGATGGGTATAGCCTCTTCCCCGCCACGTCTAAATGCACGCTTCTAGACACTGAAGACAAGGCAGGTGGGGAGGGAGCAGACTGTCATTAACTTCAGAACTCCTAACTTGGGCTTCATCAACACAGATGGTTCTGAATGACAGACCACCATATGAAACCCATCTTCTCTCTGCCTGGAGGAATCTCATAGTCCAGTGGCATGGTCTGCCAGGGAGAGAAAAGGTTTCCTGTGTTGTGAATTCTGCATGGAAAAAGCTACACAAAAGCAACCCACTCTTAGCCACAGTCTCAAACGGAACCATATGAAGGAGGCACGTACCAGGTCGATCAGGTCGCTGAGGTTTTTCTCGATTTGCTGGGGAGGCAGGCGCCTCATTAGGTCCAAGGCACAGTCCAGCTGCTGATCACTCTGTGGAGGGAGAAATACAAGTGCATCAGTCATTTTTGCCAGAAGGAATATCAAAACCTCCTTTTAAAAAGCATGCTTGTCCAAGGCATTCTAAAACCCAAAGAGCCGTGTAGTGGGCCCTCTGCCAGGTCTCTGTGTGCCGCTAGCCTGGAGGCGGGGACTGTGCAGGCTGTCTGCTCCCCTTTGACAGCAGTCTCTGTCTCAAGTGGGGGCATCCAAAAGACCCTGAAAGAAGTGGAAGCAGGCTGGAGACGTCAGAAAGCTCCCTCGCCGGCTCCCCTGCTCTGCTCAACGGGCCCTGGCGGCTGCAGATGTCGTGCCTCCCATTTGGTTCCATGGTGAGCACACTCAAGTAGCGGATTACTTTTGCCCTTTGTTGTAACCTGGGTATAAACATCAGGTGACATCCCCAAGCCAGGTTCCTTGATGAGCTCCAAGCGAGGGGGAAAAGCCAGGCAAAGAACAAGTGGCAAGATGCACACGGGTTAAAAGTGCTTCATTCATTCAATGGAAACTCAGAACACTAAGACCTAAACTACACTAGTCAAGAGCTCGCTCCACCCAGCAAAGTGGACTGCCAATGCAGTAAACTATGTCACTGCAGCAGCAGAGGACTGGAAAGACAACTATGACCCTTGTTTATCAAGCACTCTTTTAAAAAATGTTTTTAATTCTTTTAAAGACAGGGTCTTGCTGTGTCACCCAGGCTGGAGTGCAGTGGCACGATCTTGGCTCCCTACAACCTCCACTTCCCAGGTTCAAGTGATCTTCCCACCTCAGCCTCCCAAGTAGCTGGGATCACAGGTACATGCCACCACACCTGGCTAATTTTTATATTTTTGGGGGGACAAACATGGGGTTTTGCCATGTTGCCCAGGCCGGTCTTGAACTCCTGGGCTCAAGCAATCGAACTGCCTTGGCCTCCCAAAGTGCCGGGATTACAAGCATGAACCACCGTGCCCAGCCCAAGCACCTTTTTAAAGCTATGCGTCCCGTGCTTCACAATACTCTCCTCACAGTATATATGCTGCAAGTATTTACTAAGAGCCATCATATGCCAGTCACCATAAATATATGAAAAAGAGATAAATAAAGGCAGGGGGAAAGGAAGAGAACTGAGCAGAGGCGAGGCTGGTAAAGTGCAAAGTAAATTCAATGCGCATGGGTTCTAACACGGAAGCCTAGACCTCAGGAGATGAGACAAGAAATAAAGTGAGAAAGGAGGGCCAGGTCCAATGGTGAAGACCTGTGTATGCAACTCTAAGAGGTACAGATGACTCCAAGTAAGGCAGATGGAGTCCCCAACACTACCCAAGCAGAGAGGCACTATCTAATTTGTATCTGGAATCTGCTCTGCTCAGACCAATTTCAGGATTTTTGAAAGGCCTAAATCAACAAGCTACAGCCTCATAGAATACACACAGTAATCCTCAAAATGCCACATTTGGCCTTAATGAAATACAACTTTTGAATATTACCATTTATAATCCAGGTCTCTTAACCACAAGTAGGCCGTGGGACAAGGACCCACTTCATAGTCACCAAAGACATAACACATTATTAAGGAGAGTCAATTTCATTTTTTTAAAACAAGATATTGACATGGCATACACAGTCGGCTGTTTTAAAAAAGAATGAAAGAAAAGAAAAAGCCTGTCCCTTGCTCAAAATGGCTATCAGTGACAGTTCATCCTGGAACACACAATGAACTGGCTCTCCTGCAAAGAGTAAAGAAAAACACCACCCCAGAAACTCTACCACTTGTTTTGCTTAATGCCAGCAATATGAATTCCCCACTTGTGCCACGCACTTCTATGCCAACATGTCAGCCAAGGCCACAGTGACGGGTTTGGCCCACTGGCATGAGAGGAAATTTTAACACCATATCTAGGGCAGAACACACAGATAAGCTGATTTGACTCTAGTGGGACATATTCAATTCCCAGTACTACCATTCATTAACTTATGGCCTTGGGCAGGTTTCTTAATCTCTAGAAGGCTCTGTTTATTTATCCATAAAATGGGAACATAGTATCTTCCTTAGAGACTTACAATAATTTAGTAATGCATGTGAGATGTTTAATGCACAGTAGTATGTGTTTAATGATTAGGGATATTGCGTGCATACAAATATATATACAGCTTTTAAATATTTTAAAATTTTAAATGATTCCCCTGCCCAACCTCCCTGCCCCTCAACCCAGCCCTGGATCTCTCTCTCTTGCTCCCCTTAAACTAGAGCTAATGTTCAAACTCAATAAATAGCTAGGTATTCTCTTGGCTGAGCAAGAATAGAAAACCCTAAATGATTCAAGTCAAACTCGTTAAAAGGTATAAACTAGTATTTCTCAACTAGGGATGATTTTGCACACGTGCACACACATGCACACACACCTCCAACCAACCCTGCCAGGAGACATTTGGCAATGTATGGAGACATTTTTGTCACAACTGGGAGAGAAGAAACTACTGACATCTAATGGGTAGGGGCCAGGGATGCTTCTAAATGTCCCCAAACGTGATACACAGCCTCCCCACAACAAAGAATCACCTGGCCCAAATGTTAATAGAGTTAAGGCTGAGAAGCCCTCCTGGGCTAAAAATAATTGCTTCGGGGGCTGCAGATTCCCAGAATCTGATAGACGATAAGGTCCCTCTCAAGAAGAGCGCACATGCAGGGAAACATTTTATATTCAATTCTAATTTAAAGACCACACAAAACCCCTAAAAATTTCTGGTCTTCAGAGAGTATCTCAACTAGATATTAGCAATCCTCCTTACAAAAGAAAAGCAAATTAAGATATAAGGAAGCCTGTCTCATTTGAAAGTGTGATCCAGGCAGAATATAGAAGGGATTAACCAGAAACTGAGCAGTGTTATCCAGGAAAAGACCTAAGTTGACCAGAGAAGCTCAAGGTGAAAGACGCTGTTTTAATCCTTCTTCAGAGCCTGTTCACAACCCCAGTTCCCATATGCTGATCACATCCCCACCCCGCAAGGGGGCTAGACAGTCCTCTGTCGGCCTGTATCTAGTTGACAGCACTAGAATACCACTACAAAACGATCTGACTCGTATTTTGCATTAATCCCAATTAATCTTAATTGGAAATGTTTCACTACAAATTTCTAGGGCTAAGGATGTTTAACTGTCATTCAATGAGGAAATGACTAAATGCTTCCCATAAGTGAAGCAACATGGGAAAGCTTAATGACAGCTTGTAAGACGTTAAAATTAGAGTTAACTGGAGCCATTTGCTTGGGAGTCATCCCAAACCCTAAGGGGTCCAAACAGGAAACGGCACCGGAGAATGAAGCAGATGTGGATAACCTTCAGCTACAAGCAACGACATAAGTGACCCCGGAAATGGAACGATGGGGATGGAGGGAGGGGGCTAGTTACAGGGGCCTCCCTAGGATGCTGCCACTTTTATATAAAGCTCAAAAACAAGCAATAGTGAACTTTTTTTTTTTTTTTTTTTTTTAAAGATAGGCTCTCACTCTGTCACCCAGGCTGGAGTGTAGTGGCACAAGCTCAGCTGACTGCAACCTCTATCTCCTGGGCTCAAGTTATCCTCCCACCTCAGCCTCCCAAGTAGCTGGGATTACAGGCACACACCCCCATGCCTGGTTAATTTTTGTTTTTCTTGAGACAGGGTCTCACTTTGTTACCCAGGCTGGCATGTAGTGGCACAATGTCGGCTCACTGTAGCCTCGACTTCCCAGGCTCAAGCCATCCTCCCACCTCAGCCCTCCAAGTAGCTGGAAGGCCACCATGCCCAGTTAATTTTTTTGTAGTTTGGTAGAGATGGGGTTTTGTCATGCTGCCCAGGATGGTCTCAAATTCTTAACCTCAAGCGATCTGCCCACCTCGGCCTCCCAAAGTGCTGGATTACAGGCATAAGCCACCATGCCCAGCCAATTTTTCTATTTTTTGTAGAGACAGGGTTTTGCCATGTTGCCCAGGCTGGTCTGAAAGTCCTGAGCTCCAGCGATCCACCTGCCTCGGCCTCCCAAAGTGCTGGGATTACAGGTGTGAGCCACTGCACCTGGCCATGAACACTCTTATTATTTAGACATGTGTTTTAGACTAATATAACAAGGCTTTTTTTTTCTTTAAGCCAAGACAAGGGAATGATAAATACAACATTTAAGAAGAGTAGAAGAGCAGTTCCAGGGAAGCCACGAGGGGAAGATGAAAGCTAGGTCTCGCATGGAATGGCAGGTTCAAGGGTATTCATCATAATCGTGATGCTTAAGTTATGATTATCAGATATCTAAACTTTTTTTAAAGGTAATAGAAAAAAATACAAAGTACGCAGGGAGTGGTGGTGTGCTCCTGTAGTTCCAGCTACTTGGGAGGCTGAGGCAGGAGGATCATTCAAGCCCAGGAGTTCTGGGTTGCAGTGCACTATGCCCGTCAGGTGTCTGCGCTAAGTTTGGCATCAATATGGTGACTTCCTGGAAGCAGGGAACCACCAGGTGGCCAAAGGAGGAGTGAACCAGCCCAGGACAGAAACGGAACAGGTCAAAAAAATACAAGAAAGAACAAGTAAAGAGAGGGCTTAGGACTCAAGAGTCCAGGGTCCAAGGTTATGCCCTGTCATTAGACATCTGTGTTCCTTGGACTGCTCACTTAATCTCATGGCCTGGGATTTGGCCCAGATGAACTCTAAGACTCCTTCTAGATGGACTGCCCTCTATCCTACTGCGAGAGCAGACACACCCAACCGCCACACCCTTCAAAACAAGACCATTATCCTGGATTTGGCCGCTTGCAGGCCAGCAACTGGGCTACAATTCAACAACCGTGCACTGACTGCCAACCCTGGGCCAGGCCCTGAATCTGGCCCAACAAATGAGACCCAGTACCAAGCCTCAAGGAACCAATTGTCCATAAAACAGCAAGTAACCACAAGGCCAAGTGGTGTGTCCAATAATGAGACAGAGAAGGTACAAAGAGACAAGGCACAGTTCACCATACACTGATTTGTACTTCTTTG